ATCTTCCAAAAGCAAAGAGAAGCATCTTATGTTGTGGTTCTCTCAATTTTTTCTCTAATGAGACATGGAAAAATATTCTAGAGTTTAGAAAATTTAGCTCCCATTAAGAAAAAAGCAAAACAAAATCTCATTTGATTTACTAAGTACACTCTTAAGAACAGTTTAAGTACAGACCTAATGGTGATGAATTTTTAAGGAATATCTCAAACTAATTGTTTACTTCATAGATCTTTTTTTTTTTTCCCCTGCATTTCAGGCTAAGCAAAAAAACTCATTAATTAGTGATGTGTCTAAACAAAACTCTTTACTTTGAAAAATGAATTAGAAAAGTAAATTATTGACTCAGTATTTTCTTCTGTGCAACTTAAGTACCACCAAACACTTTTCTCAGTTTCCAAACATTTGTTTGCTAGCTAGCACTCTTCAGTGTTAATCTGCTCAAGAATCAAGGGATAATATCATTCTACCTGTGTTTCAGGTGCTGAGCAGCTCCACAGAATGTTATTTCCTTGATCCTGGACAGGAAACTGCCCTGATATGTTCTGACTTGCCACTCGCTCTAGTTTCATTGCTCACCCATCTGCCATAGTGGCATTTTGCCCATTCAAAGGATGGGATGCCAATTTCAGGCAGGCTTATGTGCCAACAAATATAGCTGTAGAGGGATAATATGTAGGATGAAAACATGACATCTTCTTTAAAAAGAGATAATCTTGGTGGTGAGCAATGCTAAATGAAAAATGCATGCCTCCACACAGGACAACACATCTGCTGACATGTCTTGATCATACACATCTACTTCTTCTTGCAAAATCCATTTCTGTTTGGAGAAAGAGAAGTGTGTTCAACGTTAATCAGCGGGTCTTATGGCGTTTCCCAACGCCTCCCAAAGTCAGAGGACAGACAGGCCCTCCAGTGTTTATATGGGCAAAAGGTGTGGTTATCCAGGATTCTATTACCTAACTAGGCCTGCTGGGCTTGTCCACTGTGTTCACTTTGTCCTGAAAGGGACAGCTGCTGCCGAAGCCATTCCATATGGAGTCTGAATCAGTTTTTTTTTTTTTGCCACTCTGCTCATGCTTCCTTCCCTGTAGTTTCCTAATGGGAGATTTCTTTTTCTGCACATGCAGCCATCAAAGTGGGAATTAATTGTTTGAACTCCCCAGAAACAGGAATTAAAGCAGCCGCCATAAATAACAGTGTTTCCCCATCCACCTACCTAAGCTTTCTGCTGTAATTAATAGACAAGCATTCACATTTAATATCAAAACCTCCAGCAAAGCTGGCTGGGATCAGCTGGCAGGAGAGGCTTACACATACTGTATTAGCACAGGCTCATGTGCTATGTTTTGCCACACAAAACATCCTGACACAATGGTAGTGCAGGCCTTGTGGCCAGGTGGGCCATGATGCACACCAGGATGCTTCCACTCTGGTGGCACTGAGCAGAGATCTGGAAAGCAGTAGCATCTCATGGCTGGTGCCACAAAATCTGGTCAGAGTTCCAGCATTGCTGGTGTTCATTTATGCCCGTGAAAAAGCCTGCCTTTTCAAAACCTGCCCTGCAATGCTAGTCAGTATTTCTGAAACGGAGAGCTGAGAGCGAGCTGAGAGCAGAGCCAGGGGCTGTGGGCTTTGTGCAGCTGTATGTGGTACTGTGAAGACACAGCCATATAGGAGCAGACAATGCCACAGCTCACAGGAGGTAAGCACTGAATCAGTGATCAGTTCCGGCAACGGAGAAAAGTTGCAGAATTTCATTAAGGGATCTAATTTACTTTTCACCCTTTTCCAGGTGCCTCGGCTAATGTATTTAGATTAAAGTGACTTTTGCAATCAGATTTCCACTGAAAATAGCTTATAATGAATTGTAAGGTAAACGCAAGAAATCTCTGGAAAGTAAAGGAAAAAAGATGTTCTTTGTGTTTCATACGCTGGCATGCCACCCTGCCTTCCCCAGTGCTCACAGAGCCCTTTTGATTGATCTATGCTATGTTATTAGTAGAGAGATAGTGGGACCGTTTCCATCCATATTTCATATTTCAACAGAATCCTGATAGGCTTTATTATTATTAAAACAGAGTTTGTTTATTTTTCTCCCATCAAACATGCTTGTTCTCCATAAGGCAAAGATCACAGCAGTGAAAAAGCTCCCATTTCCAAAACGTATCTCAAGAATGAAGCGCTCTGTGTTGCTTTGTTTTGTTTTGATCAGAAAACGTCAAGAAAAATAACCTTTGAATCCCCTCACAGCTATCACATCATACTGTCCTCATGGTCCCGCTTGACTGACCCACGCCTGCCACAGCAGCCGCCAGCAGGCACGATTTGGCAGGCAGATCCCCAGCAGCACTCTGCTCATCCCCAGCCCTGTAGTCCTGATCCTGCTCCACAACAGATAATGTGCCATTCTCCGTGCTCTGTAACCAAATAGAGATCACATCAGATTACATTTCCCAAGGTTGAGTGAAGGCACGCGGCTCAAGTGATGGGGCCTTTGGTGTAAACACAAAGGAAGCTTTCTCTTCCAAACTCTCTGCGTTGTTCTTGGATGGCATCTCAAACTAAGTCATTGCTGATATTCTCAAGCACTACAGTGATAATGGGTGCAACTAGGTATATTTCAAAAATATTTGATATCCAAAAGGCACCTGGTTGATTCAAGAAGTATTTCAGCTGATTTGGCACTTGCTAGGGAAAGGATTAAGATGGGTGAAACAAGCAGAGAACTCCACCATATGTTGCTACTTGGGCTCCACCATGTTGCTGCATAGTGCTAACAGGGTTCTGTTTGCACACAGAAAAATTGTGAAGGAACATCACTGGTTCATATTCGATTAGCAGGAGATAATTTGAATTTTACATTAATTTAGGCAAAATTAAACCCATAACAAAAGAAATGTTCCTGTCGCATTCAAAATGTGGATGAATCTTGTGGGTTTTTTCTGTCTATCGGCTGCCACCATGGAAAAGGCTAAGAAGACATCCAGACATAAGCTAAAAAATAAAGCTATGCTTTCTGTAATCTCTAGAAGCAGTATTCTGTCTATTTCACAAAATCCAAGGGTCAATTAAGTTCACTTTCTTGGGGTTAAAAGAAATAGTGTAATGACATTTGGTCATTCTAATATAGCAGTCCTATATAATCTAATAACTGGTTTGAGAAATCAGCTGTTTTACTTCCATACAGCTCCTGTCCCTAATGAAGATATTTATCTGTGGGCTGGGAACTGACATTCACACTATAGGCTGACCTTGGCAAAATACATACAAATGTCCATGTAAGCCCTGGAATTCACAAGCGTATACCTTAGCTTTTATATTCTATTCATTTATTTCTAGGTTTATATGAGCAAATTTTGAAGGACTTGTATTCGTAAGTTAAATTTCCAAGCTGAGAAAAATTTTTACATGCTGATTTTTCAGAAAATGAAATAAATTAAGAAATTTACCTAGACAAATAACCTATCTGTGGCCGTTAAGATAGAAGACTTCTAAACAATAGTTTATAGATGGCATTCAGAAATTAGCAATTAATCTTCAGAAATTATTTAAATAAAAATGCAAATAACTATCATTGGCACATTACAATTAGAATTATGCAGTAACAACTGTAACTAAATAGAAATGTCTACTGGAGTAAATATATTTTGTTACACAAAATAAAACATATTCATGTGATTTTAATGCTTAGTGCTGTTTTCTGCCTCAGTTATTGAGAGAGTGTTTCCTTGTACCACAGCTTTGTAATGATGAAAGGATCACATGCCTTGATGTTTCATGTTTTCATATGTAGACTGGGTTGGGATAGGAAAATGTGATCCAGGCAACTCACAACAGTGTTTGCCAGAAAGTGAGGAAATTATAAAGAAAGGATAACACTCAAAGGTAGATATATTTGAGCATTAACCACGGTTATTTTCTTAGAGCTCTGTGTTCATACATGTGTATGTATCATAAAAATATATGGAGGTTTTGGCCTATAAGCTTATCAAAAGTTTATGATTAAATATAATATGTCAGTTGCAATAGTTGCAATGCAATACAGCAATAAAGACATATAATGCAATTTTATTAAAACAACAACAACAACAAACAACAATGTGCCATGAGGATTTCATCGGGTCATTTTCCCAAACTCAAACAGATGCTGATGGATGTGCACAGCTTCAAATAGTATCTAAATCACTGCTAGGCCAGATGTGACATAATTTGTGTGGTTTGGCTGAATACAATGCACATTAATTCCACATATATATTTTCTGTGAAAGGATTTGAGTATTTCCTTCCTTCAGCACATAGGGAGAGAAAAGAAAGGGAACAGATTGTTTTTTTTTAATTCCCTCTTAACTTTCATAATATTAAATGCTGAAAAATTTACAGACCCATGGAGGGTTTGAAGGTCCAATGCTAAATTTTTGAGCTTCTTTCTCACATTAATCATTTAAGGCTCACCCTCCTTTATTTGCCAATTATTTATTCCTTACCCTGAATGAGCATCACAGAAAGCAAAATTCATATCAGCAATTAGTGCAAATGATCGCAAATCCTTTAGAATTCATAAAATTCACCAATTTGCATCACCAGAAAATATCTCCCATCTCTGTACACAGTGCAATGTCCTTTTTACTCAGGATAGTAAAGGTGTGAATATCAAACATGTTTGCAGAACTCTAATCAGTGCAGAGGGGAATGATAAGAGGTTGGGGTTAAACTGATTTGCTGATGTCTGCTAAGATGGTCTGTAGTAAAGAAAACAATTACCTTTTTTTTTTTTTTTTTTTTTTTTTTTTTTTGAGTGACCCAGACGGGTGAATGTATTGATGATCTGGTAATGAGCACTTTGAGCAATTATGACTGACAATAGGAGAAGAAATCTCAATCTGCAACATTTGAAATTACCATTTGCCATTCAGCCAATTGGCTTCTGATTCGCTAATTTCATAACAAGCCTTGGCAACCTACCGCAAATTTGTTTATTGGGAACAGTTACAATTTTTCCAGATGCCAAGGTAACCTAGTCTTCATCTTCAGACTTAAGTCCCCCGAATGGCAGGAATAAGGATGTATCATATCACTGAAGTGTGTTATCTTTTATTTCCTCATCACAAATCAGTTAGTTTGTTAAGCAACCTTGACATCCGCATGTAAGGCAGTGTTAAAATGAATGCATCTAAAGTGGGATCCACTGACATTTTTACCCTGCACTTATTCCACAGTGGTGCCCTAGGTTTCATAATAACTTATTCAACTCACTGTTCTATCCTATTTATTGTAAACCATTCACGTTTATGGTGGCTGATGCTTTTGTATATTATGGACTTTATCATTATGGACTGTTGTTGCATCATGCTGTAGGAAGCAAAAGAGAAACGAACAAATGTAAGAAAAAAAAAAAAGATTGTGTGCTGTTTCTCACTCAAAGGAGAATCTTTGATTATTGGAAGTGCTAGGTGAAAGCTAACAGAGAATTCAGAAATACATTTCACAGAAGCAGAAAATTATTTAAGTTGGAAGGTGGTGGTCATGGAGTCCAATCCCTTGCTTAAAGCAAGTCTCATTAGATAAGATACTCAGGGATTTGTCCATAAGAGTCTTCTCTCACCTTTCTTCTAAAGCTGTTCTGGACAGCCAACATTTTTTGCTGGATTGTATAAATTTGCAGTTTTGCTAAAGCTTGCAGGACATGTGTCATCCCAGAAGAGCAGGGAAAATTACCTCACCTACCAGTTATGGCCCACCTCAATACAATATTCCCATTTATATACAAAATTGAAAATCATCTCTCCTTTTCCTACAAGTTCAATTTTGTGTACAGCTAATGCAAAAGCAGAAGAGTTTACTCCGATGCACAAGCATGAGAATTTATTCATGAATCTACTGCTGAAGCTTGGCTTTTGCTCTGCATCACTGGATTACAAAGTGCCCCTGCAACTTGAGTGCTCATGCAACTTGAAGTTGCTCATTACGGACATTTAACTTTCCTTATGTCACAAACAGATAAAATTTACATAAGAAATAGAAGCAGTGAGAAATGTCATTTTCCACATTATCTAGTGGAACCATGAAAAATATAACTTCTCTAAATTCTCGTTTTAGAACGCCCTTGAGAATTGTTTGTCTGTGTTTGTGAACAAAGACTTGGGAATGCATCACAAACAACCATGTGCGAGAGTTCCCTTTATGGTCAAAAAGGGATATTCATGAAAGCCAAACGGTCACAGAGGCACACAAATCTTACAGCAAGATCTTTGATTTGCCAAGTTTTCCCTTGTGGCCATGAATGCAAACAACTGGGGATTAATTAAATAAAAATATATGTACACTCAGTTTGGTCTTCTGATTTCAAGAAGCTGCATAAGCAACAAAGCTTTCAGAATAAAGCTACCCATAATTAAAGAAAAAGTATGAATACATTATAGAAAGAAAAGAATCAAATTAAGTGTTAAAATATGGATAAGCATCTCTGGGAATCCCCATTCAATTTAACTCCCAAATGAGAACTAGCACTTACAGGAAAGTATAGGGTTATTAGCTACTATATGAAACCATTTTTAGAAATTACTAATTTCCTATAATTATTTTAATCAGCCAATTTTTCAAATTACTCACCACCCATACAGTGATAATGGAAGGTAGCAGGTGTGCCTTAAATTATGTCTTAAAATTGAGGCTAGAGACCTAAATCAAAGCCCATCAAAGTTAATATAAAAAACCCCTTTGACTTCATTAAGATTTGACAGAACCCAGAAGTCAACACGGTGGTGAATTTTTGCAAGTATGTGGCAGTTACTGCATTTTAGGGCCTTTGTGAAGTGGTATCAAAAGGAGCAAGAAAAGGATACTCTACCCCAGTTTCTCTGCAGGAGATCTTAAGGCTTTGGGCACCATGTCTAATTCAGCTTAAAGATGGAATTGCCAACTGTCTTTAGAAGAACTGTCCTCAGGTTTTAGTTTTTACTTGGGTCTATGCTTTACGAAAGGCATTCCGTCTGTAGCTCTTTTGTGATCAGCATGTGCTGCTTTGCACTTGTGAAAGAGCAGTTATACTTGGGTTAGACTGTTTCTCTTTAATTGTTAGATCCAATTCCAACTTGTGAAATTGATGATATAGTTGTTAATACAAAAATTTATGTTAATAATTGGCAAATAGCTAATAATAATAACTAATCTTTAACACTGGATAATCTTTTTATTAGGATACCTGCTGCAGCCAAATTTAATTATTGTGCTTACATATTTTGACCAACATTTTCTTTCTATTCTGCAGTTAATTTTGCTGTTCAGATGTGCCATATGCACAATAAAATATATGTCTGTTTCTCAAAAGGATTCTTGGATGAAATAAATACATTGAGTACTTATAAGAAAGGCTGGGAATTTTATCCCATGTTGCTGGTCACACATGTAATTTGTTCTTACAGTGCTAATGGATTTACTGTAGAAATGCTAGTTCTGAAAATATGATAGGAATTCATTAATTATTATAATTTTAATATCTATACAGTAAGATGGAAATTTACCTTGTTTCTAGAATGGTCTTCTCCAAAAGAGAGCAACTGTGAGCCATTTCAGTTGTTACAGATATCAGCCAAAAGAGAATGGGAAGGCAGTAATTTCCTTAATCTGTGGTTAAATATCTGTTATGAAATGTGCTAAAGAGGACAATTCCTCAGGTGGGTAAAGGATTTTGACAAGACTGTCCTGCTGGAAGGATACTCAATCACTAGAATTATCTTTAATATAATCAGCCACCAAGGGATAAAGCTGCATTTCTAAAATGTCAGTTCATTGTGTGATGCTTAGATGGGTCATCTCAGGCACTAATTATCTTTCATTGAGAACAATTTACATTCTCTTTTGAACATTATGCCTCTTCACTGGATTTCTTCAATCCATTTTGTTACTGGATCCCAATTACACATCAGGATACACTTTCCAGATTAATCTGTTTGTTGGGTTTGTTGTTTCATCTCTGGAGTACTGTGATGCAGCGAGGCACCACTGTTATTTGTTATCTGACAAATTATTGTAGGGAACTCTTATAGAAAAATGTGCTCTCATTTGTGACTTCTCAGTGCAGAGTAGTGTCCCCAGAAGGCCAGGATCATGCACACCAGGATCTCAGGTAAAGTACCTCAGCCTTAGCAACGGGCATTCTTATCTTATTGTCCCTGAAACTGTTTACACAGAATCAATAAAACAAAGTTCATCGTCAGCAGAAAAAAAGGACCCATAAGACTTGAAGACAAAACTTACTCACGTGCTGCAAAATCTACCCCAGGGCAGCAGCTCAGCTTGACCGCTGAGAAAGAGAGCACCACAGTTTTACAAGAAGCTCAGTTGGCCAACACTTTCAGTTCAATTGAGCCAAAGGCATGCACCATATTTGTCAAGCGTTAACCCTACCTCCCAAGGTAGCTGATAGTAGGAAGTGTGTCCCATATTTCTTGATCAGGTTCTCTGTGATCTGCTGAAGCGTTGGGCGGCGTCCCAGTAGCCTTATGTTACGGAAGAACTCAGGGGCAAGAGGCAGCGGGGAGCCAAGAAAATTGCGTCTTTCAACAGCGAGATTGTTTACTTTCCAGCGGCCAAACTCTCTGCAAAGGAAAGTAATTCTCATTCAGAAATATGTCATTCAGACAAATGCCTTCATTTGCAAACTACTCTGCTTCGTCGACTAGCTGGAGGCAACTGGCTGGGTATTACAGCAAGGCTTGACAGTGACACTCCGTCATGTTTTATAAGCATAGGACAAGCAACAAGTGTTATTTATTAGAAGGGAAAGAAGTGCTCCGTTAAAAAAAACATCATTTGGAAAAATAAAAAAATAAAATTTGAGGGTGCTACTGTTCCCATTTTTCCTGTTTATTTCCTGGTGTGAATATAACCCTAGAACAACCAGATTTGCACTTAGGTACAGAGTTGGCTACTTCAAACAATGTAGAGAAACACTATGACAATACATTTCCAAAAGTTTTCTGTACTATTGGTCTCCATTCAGAGTAAATATGCAGATTGCACGTCTGATCCCTGAAAACAGATAACTTCAGTTGTAAGAGGGATACAAATGAATTTTAAAAATGTTCCCCTTCAAGATACTTCAGTAAGAGCAGGGAAAACAAACAAGTCAATTACACAGTAATAAACACATCTTTTATTCATTTACTTCCAATTAAGCTACCAGATACTTATTAGCAGAAGAGCTCATTGCTTTCAACTTAGCTAAGACACTTAGCATCTGTGTTACCCTTGCTTTTGCAAGGTACTCTATAGTCTCTTTTGGTTATAGACTGGAATACTGTGAGAATTAAGTCCAAAGCAACCTTTGGACTGTAGTTTAGCTACTGCTTTGTCAAGTCCTTTGAAAAGCATGTCAATTAAGATTTGTCCTCAGATAAGACTGTAGAAAAACAAATAGATTAGAGAGCTTAAAGATCCTACTGAAGGTCCCAGCTAAATATAGTACAATATTCATTTACACAATTAACACAAAAGACAAAAATCAAGTTTGCAGCTAGGAAATAAATCAGAGATATTTGAAAGAAAACAATTGCATGGGACTGAATGAATAAAATGAGTTATGTAATATCTAAACACTTTTTTTTCTGTATTCAGTTCTTTAAAATTCACATGCGTGAGTGAGAACCAAATTAATACAGTTTTGTGTAGTCCTAATATATAGTAACCTTCTATTCTTGTAGATCCAAAATGCCTTTTCACCAGGGTAGCCATACACACATAATAGGTGATAATTTGGTGCAGCGACTTCATAGGTATTTTTTGTTGGTTTGGTGGTGGTGGTGTGTTGTTGTTTTCTTTTGTTTATAATTTTTTAAACAATTTTTTAATGCTTTGTTCTCATAAATTTATTTTCATTGTAAGAATCCAGAAATCTAACAATCTCTTTTTTTCATCCTTTATGAAACTACAGCATATTAGTAGGAATAGCTGAGAAAACTAAAGCAGAAATATTTTTACCTCTAAAATATAAGGCTAACCGTTGGTCATAATGACTACAGTAATGCAGTAAATACAGTGCACTACCCTGAATTGTAAATGTGCTTTTCAACTGAAAGTAAAAAGAAATAAGGAAAACATTTTTCTTTTAATTTTATTTAAATATGTCCTTTTGGATATATTTTTGAGGTATAATTTATTTCTACCTTCCCTTCTTCCTTCTCCTTTCCTTCCTGCCTTCCCTGACCATGTGTATGACCCTCTTAATGCAGCCAGAACAATGTCACTAAATGGTTCTTGCTATATACATCAGTAAGTCTGAGACTGAAGAAGAAGCCAATTTCCAAGAAAAAATATCTAATTCTAAGTTAAAAGCTGATTCTCAGGATTTCTCAGAATTTCTTAATAATCTGCTGTAGGATTTGACTACTTTCAGAGAGAACATTTTCTTTTCAGAATAAACACTGCCAACTTGAGTTTCCAATTCTTGGAGATTTTAATGCATGTCTGGTAGATTAAAGGCTCTTCTAAATGCTAGGCATGTTCTGTGCAACTAATTACAGCTCTTGTCTGAATCATTTCTTAACCTTGGACTAACTGTGTCAACTGATACCTTTTGTGTTTCTTTCCAAATGGTGGTTTTAGTTGATACATAGTTCTACAGCTCTCCTCCAAAAGACAGAAAAACTAGAAAAATGGTGATCTCACCCATATTAGACTCAGAAGTATTAAGTTCAAGTCCTCCCACTCCACTAAAAGCCTTCTGTTTACTGAATTTAGGGATTCATTTATTCTAGTACTATGAGAAAATTTTTTTGGCTTAATTAGTCAGACCTGAGTTAGAGAACCTCCCTTCCACGGTTTTTGCTGCAGAAAGATTGTTTTGCCATAACTTACATTATTTCAGAGAGAGCAACTAGGCTAATGTTTTGCTTTTTATTTTGAGTGTATCAGTGCAAATAATTACTGGTGCAGCAAGTAGTCATCCTTTCAAATTCACTGTTGTAGAAACTGAGGAGATGATGACATTTTTAAAAAACAGATATTCTAATTTACTCATTTGAGGTGAAGCTTTTAAAGCACTTACTAACCAGCTTACACCTTTTCCTGAAGTCTTTCTTAAATTATGTCTTTTGAAACCTTGATAGATGAAGGTATAAATGCTCTGAGAGAGATGAGAGGAAATGTCCTATCTGAAAATAAGAGGGACACAGGACAACAAAAATAAGCTGCCTGACTTCATGACAGCTGATACATAGATGAGGACAAGCAAGAAGTCACAAGCAGCTTCTCCAACAGGAAACAAGAGAAAAGATTATTGGCTTCCGAAATAAGTGATGGGAGTAAAAAGTGAGAAGAATGAAACTAGGGCTGGAGTTCAGGGTAGAAATTTGCTCTATATTGTTTTCAAGAATGTTGAGTGAGAAGGCCATTTCTGGATATGTGAGAGTCACTAGTAACTGCTGTTTTGAATATAGAATTACTTTCTCATTAAAAAAAAAAAAAATCACTACAAGTAAACTTGCAGGATGATGTTCCTTTTACATTGTATATAAATAGGCATATAAATAAATATATACATAGATTTCTCTGAAAAACAACAGCTTCAAAGAATTCAATAACGCTATTTGATAGAGCAAATTCTCAGCTACAAAACACTTTTTAAACATAGCCATTAGCTATTCATTTTCACCAATGATGAACAAAAGTCTGCATACTGCACTCGTAAATATCTGCACCAGTGAAGGTGATCCACTGTTTTATCATTAGAAAAATACTACCCACACAGTCCATCTTTCATCAGCTTGAACAGAAGAAAGTTAGAAGGAGCCAAATCCAGGCTGCATCTTGAACTTTTTCATCAATGGGGAATTCACATTTCACCGCTCCAAGAACTGCCATTTTAACTTCAGCTCATAGTGGTGGCACTATGTCTCATCACTGGTAATGATACAATCCAGAAAAATGTCTGCCTCATTTTGGTTTAGTAGGTCCTGACAAACTTGCATGAGGTGTTCCTTCTGTTCCTGTGGGACCCACCCAGCACAAACTTTTCTATATTTCAATGTTGCCACCACTGTTCCCATTGCACTGAGACCAATATTCAGCTGTATACACATTTTCCTGATAGTCATCCACTGATTTTTGCAGATGAACTGATAGAGATGCTCTTCATTTTGTGGTGTGACAGCTGTTCGTGGCCATCTGGAACATGGCTTTTCTTTCACACCAGATTTCAACTGCAGAGAAGCACCACCCAACACTTCCCTGTCCTCACATCCACTGTTTGGTCTCCATACACATTCAGCAAATGTCAGTGGGTGCAATTTTTTTCACATGGAGGAAATCTGGTAACTTCCAGGCTATGCAGAAGTTGCATAGCTTGATAATTTTAATATTCTTCTATTTCTTTTAATATGCAGTTGGTCCAAAATGAATGCCTTCAATTTATTTCCATGGAAACTACAACAGGGACAAAGAGCACAATCACACTAGACCAGATTTTCAATATAGCCACCACCATTAGATGTGCATTTTTGCCAGCGATGGACAAAAGAGTCTGCATGCTGCACTCATGAAAATCTGCACCAATGGAGGTGAGCCACTGTCACTGTCTCCACTGCTGAAACACATCACCCACTACCTAACTATGCTCACACCCACTGTTTGGTGTCTATACCCATGAATATCAATGGGTGCCATTTTTTTTCTGAACAAGGAATTCATTACCACTCTTTTGCTTCCTATGCACTTCCACGTCAGATGCTCCTTTTGTCAGACTGCCCTTCCACTGCCATTTGTCACACAGCAACCAAATGCAATGGAATATTGGTGGGAAGGTTTAACCTCTACTGCTATACCACCAAACTCAACCTCTGATGGAATGGGCTAACATAAAAAAATAGAAGGCATTAATTTCAAAGCAGCCCTAACATACACAAAAATATTTTTATCTATACACATATTATACGTACAAGTTCAGTTTCTTTTCTTGATTTTTACCTTGCAAGCAGCAGCATATTTTCTCCTATTTCCTTCCCCCCTCATTATCACACGGTAAAGCTCAACATTTTTTTACCTGTTTCACTTACAGTCATTCTCTCAAATACAAGTTCCAGCCCTCAAATGAGTACTAAATGTACATAATTCTCTTTTGGAAATCAGATTTCCATCCACTGCAGACTAGCAGGACCAACAGAATCATTGATCTTAGCAGAAAAAAAAAATTCTACTTTCTGAAGTCATAGAATCATAGAATGGCTTGGGTTGGAAGGGATCCCCAGGGTCATCAAGTTCCAATCCCCTTGCCACAGGCAGGGCCAACAACTTCCAGATCTGGCATTAGAGCAGATCACCCAGGGCCCCACACAACCTGGTCCTGAACACAACCAGCCTCTCTGGGCAGCCTGTTCCAGCATCTCACCACTCTCTCTGTGAAGAACTTCCCCCTGACATCCAATCTTTTCCTTGAGGGAAAAACCATTCCCCCTTGTCTTATCACCATCTACCCAAGTTAAAAGTCGATTCCCCTCCTTTGTATAATCCCCTTTTAAAAAGCCTGTCCACATCCCTTTGGATGGCATCCCTTCCTTCTGTTCTATCAACTGCACCACTCAGATTGGTGTTGTTTGCAAAGGTG